CATCTTCTCTGGGCAGCCTGTTCCTATGTTTAAGCATCCACACTGTGATTTTTTTCCATATGTCCAGCTGGAAACTCCCCTGTTTCAAAGTATGCAGCACTATGCAGCTTTGGAAGGAGCCTGACTCCACCCTTTCACCAATCTCCTCTTAGGTATTATAAGGTAGTGAAGACTATTAGAACACCTGCCCCCTGCCTGAAGCCATCTCTTTTCCCAATCGAACAAGCCAAGCTCTCCTAGTGTCTCCGCACGGACCGAGTGCTCCAGCCTCCAACCAGCTTAGTGACCCTCCGCTGAACTCACTCAAGTTTATCAAGAACTCTCTTGCATGAAGGGCCCAGAACTGGTGACTGTATCCCAAATGTAGTTTAATGAGTGCCAAGTACATTCAAATAATCACTTTCCTCAATTTACTGGCCACATTCCCATTACTGTAAATGTACAACACTCTAGCTCAACCAAGAAGAAAAACTTAAAACGAAAAGGAAACTTCAGTACTCAAAGGAGTCAATGCAAATTTGAAGACTGATCACTCTGCCAATTCGTAATGGGTACTTTTTCCATTTACGCATCTCCATTGGAGTTTATCCTGACATTTCAGTTATAATCTCTTCGCTTAATCTCTATAACATTTTCAGGTGCTTGAAATGCTTGGAAAAAAAAAAAGATTTTAAATGAACTTCATAAAACCGGTGCTGCCTCTTTCCTCTGTGCTCCTACCCTTTAAAATGTTAGAACTACTATTCTAAAATTATTGGCTAGTACAAGTAATTTTTAGAACTGGGCAGTCTTAGCAGTCTTGTAGATTTTTATACCACTGCTAAAGGAAGACTCATGCCAAATATGATTCCAGCCTAGGAACATCCCATAATATTAGACATTAAAGTTAGCATGCTCAATGAGCAGACAGAAGAGCTGCTTCAGAATTGCATTATTTACTTTGCTAGCTTTTTGATACAGACTATAATTTCTCTGTATTTACACAGTGTTTGGACTAATAGAGCTTTAATCCTACAGACCTGCTAAGTAATCATAATGGTGCATATTTTTAAAAATAAAATAACAGTTACACCGAAAAATATGCTCAGATAATTATCTAATCAGATACTGCATTCACCAGTGCAGCCTTTGAGAGTATGGAAAGCACAGAAATAGTCATAAACAATGTTTTATGAAAAGGACTACCATATTATGTTTGGCATAGCTACAGAGTTAAAGTAATGAAAAATGATGCAAATGAAGACTGACTACACTTTATACTATGCTACCTGACTGTGGAACCTCTTAGTGTTCTTTATGTGCACTACACATAACGTGCAATGAACATTAAAGAGACTAGCTTCAAAAAACCTGCTTTTCTACATCCTGTGGAAGATCACGTGCACGGGCAGGAAGTAGAAAACATCTAACGATTCTATAGACTATGATAATGAGAAAGATTTCCCTGTTTATCATAGAGCCTAATAATTAAACACCACTAAAATAAATAGAAAATACACTGAAATACTGTATTCTATTTGCTGATGAAGAATTTTATGAAATGTAATAGATACAATGTTTTTCCCTTTCATCAATATTATTCAATTCAATACAAAATTCTGTTACACCTATAAAGCCCAGACCTACATCGACAGCATCAGCAAAAGTGTCCCTTCCTAAGCCTCAACTTTCCAGTTTTCTACATCAGGTATGCCTACTTTTGAACTCATTGATAGTTCATCTTAAGCCTTAGGGATTTAAGAATCTGGTATCAACTGTATGTCACTACTAACTTCTTAGCCTGCCCTTCTTATTTTAGAGCTTATTTTTGCATACTCTGGGCACAAGAAGTCCTCTTGTCATGATCATAAAAGATTCTGTTCCTTAACTCTTGACTTACAGAGGTTTACTCCTCCCCTCTACTGTCCATAATTCAAGACAAGCTTAGGAAGAGACCCATAACTGATTCCTGATAAGCTAGTGCAGTCTGTGCAGCTTTGGTCAGCAAATAAGACAAAATAGACAGCTTACTGGGCTCAGACTAGATAACCTTAAATATAATCGTAGATACAGGTTTTGTACGCAGAAACTATACTCAGTGCAGTACATTCACACAGTGCTTCTTTCAGCTGCTTTCTTAAAAAATGTGGTCTAGCACATTCTATACAAATCCACTCAGTTTAAAGCAGATGAGAACATGCATATAAATGTGTACCCTTCACTAATTAGAGTACTTAATTCAAAAAGCTATCATTTTCTCTCTGATAGCATTTTGTTTTAAATGCAAGTTAATAGATGTGTTTAGCACAGACTTTAATATCTGGAGTTAAAGACATATTTGTTTTTAATTTAAGCTCTCTTTTCTGGAGAGCAATACGATTTATTAAAAAGAAAAGAAACCACAAAATCTGCAATTTAGAGGGAAGAGAAAATGGATTAGCGAAGTGATGCTTGCAATTACTTTTTCTTTATTCCAACACATGGCTCTCTAGGAGTATTATATAGAATTGAATTTATGCCC